CTGATGGGCACTTGGGCTGCTTCCAGATCTTAGCTATTGTAAACTGCGCTGCTATGAACATCGGGGGGCATATATTCTTTCTGATTAATGTTTCAGGATTCTTAGGGTACATTCCTAGAAGTGGGGTCACTGGGTCAACAGGCAGCTCCACTTCTAATTTTTTGAGGAACCTCCATACTGTTTTCCATAGTGGCTGCCCCAGTCTGCATTCCCACCAGCAGTGCACTAGGTTCCCCTTTCTCCACACCCTCGCCAGCAGGAGTCGTTTGTTGATTTGCTGATGGAGCCATTCTGACAGGTGTGAGGTGATACCTCATTGTGGTTTTAGTTTGCATCTCTGATGATTAGTGATTTTGAGCATTTTTTCATATGTCTCTTGGCCATCCGTATGTCCTCTTTGAGAAGTGTCTATGTAACCCTTTTTAAAATTTCTGTTTTTATCTATTTGTGCTCTCCCTCTCTGTCTCATTTTCTTGATGAGTCTGGCTAAAGGTTTCTCAACTGTGAGGATTTAAAAAGTATTTGTAAAGTACCAAGCAAATAAAAAGCACTGTATAAGTGGAGTTTTGGGTTTTGTTTTGTTTTTTAATTGATTTTAGAGAGAGACAAAGGGAGAGGGAGAGAGAGGTAGAAACATCAACGAGAGAGAAACACCTATCAATCGGCTGCCCCCTGCATGCCTCCTACTGGGGATCGAGCCCGAAACCCGGGCTTGTGCCCTGACAAGGAATCCAACAAGGTACCTCTTGGTTCCTGGGATGACGCTTAATCCACTGAGCCACTCCAGCCAGGCAAAGCAGAGTTTTTGTAGTTTTAAAAAACCCACAATCTTTTTTTGTTGGTTAATCTTCACCCAAGGATATTTTTTCCATTGATTTTTTTTTTTTTTTTAGAGAAAGTGGAAGGGATGGGGAGAGACAGAGAGAGAAACGTCAATGTGAGAGAGACACATTGACTGGTTGTCTCCCACACACGCCCCGACTGGGGCAGGGATCAAGCCTGCAACCGAGGTACATGCCCTTGACCGGCATCGAACCCATGACCCTTCAGTCCACCAGCCGATGCTCTAACCACTGAGAAAAGCCGGCCAGGACAAACCCCAGAATGTTTTAACTCCATCTCTTCTTTTCTGCAGCAAATCTTATATCTCTTTTCTCATTTTCTCCCTCTTAGCAACTGCAAACACACCCTTCCTTGTCAAAATCTCCCATTTGCTGTCCCATTGACTTATATTCCTCACTTTTAAGATGCCTTAACTAAAATCCAGATTCACGTCACATGTTTATACTGTTCCCCGCCAGCTTCAATGTCTGTTCCTCTAACACCCCCCTAACACCTAACACTGATTCCCTTCGGTCTTAGATCCTCATAATTCCATGTTATGTTATTTTTTTCCATACTAAAGAGCTTTGATGCCTCTGCCTAGGGTGGCTAGTCTTTTGCCAAGTGGCACATGGAGAGGAGGAGAGAAAGGGAGACTGGACTTGGAGAAGAAACACACTGTCCCAATGCCATGCTCTACTCACCTCCATAGAAGGAGAGAGCACACTGTGTGCACCTGCCTAACACCCAGGGGCTCTCATAAAAATAGCAATATGATCTCCCTTTCAAACCAATGGTCTTGCCGCTGGCTCCTGAGCAGAATTTAACAGCTGTCAAAATTAGGAATCAGGAGACCTGGTTTCTAGCCCCAGCTCTGCTCACATTTACTGCTGTGATCTTGGCAAAGCCACTCACACTTATTTGGCCCTAATTACCTTAGGGATAGTAATGCTCATAGTTGTGAGAGTCAAACATACGTTTTACTTCCCTTCTGAGCATACGTTTTATTCTTGCTATGGTCAAATCCCAATTATCCGGCTACAGCTCATACATGAAAAATCTTCATACTCTTTGCTTTCAGCCCTTACTAAAACGTAAATAGCAAAAAGCAATGTAAAATAAAACTAGTTTTACTGAGTAATTAACTGATTGATTGATGGTCATTCTTCTGTTAGATGATCTAAAGGTTAAAATAGTTTTTCTCAATTTCAGTATCATGGACACTTTGGACCAGACCGTTGTTTCTTACAGGGTGTTTAACAGCATCCCTGGCCTCTACCCACTCGATGCCGGTCATGATCATCAAAAATGTCTCCAGATATTGCCAAATGTCCCCTGGGGAACAGAATTGCTTCTGGTTGATATCTACTGGAGTAAAGGATAGCAAAGTCTTATTTTATTGCTTTTTACTTATTTGGCCAACCCCTTAAGTATGGTAACTCTGTTTTCTATATTTTCTATAAATTTCTGCACATTACAGGCCAAATCCACATAGAGTTAGTGTTCAGTAAAATATTTCGTATAGGGGAATGGTGTGAATATGTCATTACCCCCGCCACCCACCAATACCACATGTCAAAAAACTGTCCTTATCAAGAGAAAGCACTAACAGCCCATTTTCTGCTGGAAGGTTGGTAAGTTTATATCACTCTAAACATCCTATAAAAACACTGGACTTACAAGGCTTAGATTTTGTACACTGGACTTACAAGGCTTATTTTGGTTTATGTATGACAATGGCTTTCAAGTGGGGGCGATTCCGTCTCCCAGGGAACGTTTGGCAATGTCTGGAGACATTTTGGGGTGTCACAACAGGGGATGGGGCAGCTAGTGGGATGCTGCTAACCCCTATAATGCATAGGACAGCCCCACAAAGAATGACCCGGCCCAGTAGGTCAAAGCCCTGCAGTGCTAACCGGGAGCTCGCTGGGTGGGGAGACGAGGCCCCGCCCGCTTCTGGGCGATGCGGGCTTTTCCTTGGAGAACCTAATCAAGTTTCTGTTCTTCTTTCTCACAGCTGCTCATGGGACAAGTTCCTGAGATGCATGCTTACGGTGTTTCCCTTCCTAGAGTGGATGTGTTTGTACCGATTCAAGGATTGGCTTCTTGGAGACTTACTTGCAGGTGTAAGTGTTGGCCTTGTGCAAGTTCCCCAAGGTAAGGAAGATACGAAGCCTTTTCACCCACACACTTACCTTACCTGCCAGGTTCCTAACTCAGGATGGCTCCAAAAGACTCAGTTTAGTTTGGACCCCTGAATACTTCCAAGAGTATCTGCAATGGCCATTCACGGTCATTTTTTGCTTAACTAGTCACTTCTTACTCACATGACTGCAACAGACCCACGGGCACGGGTCTTGCTTCCAAAGGTGAAGGTTACGAAACATAGCGTGCTAGCAGCTCTTCACCGGGTCGCACATGGCCGTCCGGGGGCTCCTCTTGGTCTTCTGAGTGGCAGTCCAGATGTAAGGCACGATCATGCGGGCAGGCAGGCAGCGAGCTGGACTTCAGAAGCCTCATTTCCCAAACAGGAACCAACCTCTCGTAACTTTCATTAACTCTTGCGTCCAGGGTCCCACAAGCAACATGCCCAGTTATAAGATCCTTGTGCTCAGGGGAGCCAAAGCTAGGGCTTCCCACTGGGTATTTGCTTTCATTCAGTCCTCTTGGTTGAGGCAGAGTATACTAATCGGGCTCATTTTAGTTTTTATTTTTGTTTTTTGTTGTTGTTGTTAATCTTCACCCTAGGATATTTTTTTCCATTGATTCTTAGAGAGAGTGGAGGGGGGGGAGAAAGAGTGAGAGAGAGAGACAGTGATGTGAGAGAGGCGGTGAGGTGAGAGAGGCTCACCCACACATCGATTGGTTGCCTCCCGAACACACCCCAGCTACGGCCAGGAATTGAACCTGCAGCCCAGGCATGTGCCCTTGACCTGGAATCGAACCCTTGACGCAGGCCATGCTCTAACCTCTGAGCCACACGGGCCAGGGTGAATCGGGCTCGTTTTTACTCTATAACCAATGTTGGCTGGTAACACAGCTGATGTTCCACTGTTTTCAGGTTTCCAAAAAAAACATCTGAAAAGTTAATCCAAGATCACATTTATCCACAGAGAAAGAGGTAGGATTTTGTTAATCCTTTATCCACAGCGGTTCCCAGTTCCCTGCATAGTCTTTAAACACTTCTGTTTCTATATTTTTCTGGGGCCGACCAGGCAGGATGGAAACTTGTGATTATACAGGTTGTGCGTAGCACAAAAGAGGCCAAAGAGCCAAGTGGTAGCTTTCTGACACACGGCTGTTAGCTGAGGAAAGGGGTCCCTTTTTAAAAAATTATCATACAGTAAAACTGACTTTTTTCCCTTTTGGAGTACAGTTCTATGAATTTCAACACATATGTAGATTTATGTAACCACCACAATCAAGATACATAACAGCTCCATCAGCCCCAAATCTCTCCCGTGCCACCCCTTTTTAGTTACATTGTCCCCTAACCTCCAACCCCTGCAACCACTTTTCTCCGTCACCAAGTTCTGTCTTTTGAGAATATCACATAAACGGACCCATCTAGTGTGTAACTTTTGAACGCTGGCTTCTTTAATTCAGCATTAGGTCCTTGAAATTAATGCAAACGGTTATATGCATCCCTCGTCGGTTCATTTTTATTGCTGAGTAATATTCCATGGTACGGCTGTCCCATTGGCTTGTTGGTGGAGCTTTGCTTCCAGGTTTTGACTGTCACAAGTAAAGTTGCTGTGACCATTCATGCACAGGTTTTTGTGTGAGCACGTTTCCATTTCTCTAAGGTAAAGGCCGAGGAGTGGTATTGTTGGTCAGATGGCAAAGCGTAGGTTTAACTTTACAGGAAACTGCCAAGCTGTTTTCCGGGGCGGCTGTCCCTGCCATTTGCCATTTTCACCAGCAATGTGTGAGAATTCTGGTTCCTCCACGCTCCCGGCAGCCTTGAGATGGTTAGATTTACACGCGTTCCTAAGAAACGGCCGAGCAATCCCTCGTATCCTTCACCCACTTTCCCCAGTGGTAGCACCTTGCAAAACCACAGTTCAATCTTACAACCAGGTTATTGGTATTGATACAATAAAGATACGGAACATTTCCACCACCACAGGGGTCCCTCCTGCTGCCCTCTGATGGTCACCCCCACTTGCCTCCTGGCCCCCTTCCCTCCTTGACCTCTGGCCACCTCTGATCTGTTCTTCATTTCTATAATTTTGACATTTCAAGAAAGTTACACGAATGGAGTCGTGGCTATGTAAACCTTTGGGACTGGCTTCTTTCAACATCTTAATTCTCTGGAGATTCGTCTAGGCCGTCGTGTGTATTAATAGTTCGTTCCTTTCATTGCCAAGTAGCATGCCACGGTATGGACGTCCCCCAGGTTGGTTAAACATTCACCCTCCCAGGACGTTGGAAGTGTTTGAAGCTTTGGGCTACTATAAATACAGCTGCTGTGGACATCTGTGTGTAGGTTAGTGAGCAGGGTCCTCATTTCTCTGGGATAACTATCCAGGAGAGCAGTTGTTGGATGGTAGGGTATTTGCATGTTTAGTTTTTTTAAGAAAATGCCAAGCTGCTCTCCAGAGTGGCGGCATCATTTTACACTCCTACCAGCAATCTGAGTGCCCCGTAGCCCTGCGTCCTCGCTGGCATTTGGTGGTGTCGCTTTTTGCTTTAGCCACCCAGGTGGCGTGGAGCGCGATCTCGCGATCTCGCTGTGGTTCCAGGTTGCGCCTCCCCGGTGGCTATTGAGGCTGAACAGCTTCTCAAATGGGACTTGTCCAGCTATATATTTTAATGAGTGGCTCTTCTTGTCTTTTGCTCATGTTCTAACTGGATTGTTTGCATTTTTACTAATGAGTTTTGAGAATTATTTATATATTTTAGATACCAGTCCTTTGTCAATTGCGTCCTGCAAATATTTTCTACCAGCCCGGGGCCTGTCTTTTTTTTAAAATCCTCCCCTGAGGATATGTTTTTATTGACTTGAGAGAGAGGGGAAGGGAGAGGGAGAGAGAGAAACACTGATGTGAGAGAGAGACATGAGTCAGTTGCCACTATATGTCCCCCAGCCCGGGGTGGAAGCTCAGCCTAGTTATGTGCCCTGACCGGGGGTCGAACCCGCAACCTGTGGTGCAGGCCATGAAGCTCCTGCGGACTGAGCCGCCTGGCCAGGGCTGTAGCCTGTCTCACCATCCTCTTAACAAAATCTTTAAAGAGCAAACTTTTTAATTTTGATGAAACCTAGTTTTTACTGTCTTTTATTTTAGCCGTTCTAAGAGGTTCGCGGTGGTTTTCATTGGCATTTTCCTGATGGCTAGTGAGGTCCAACATCTTTTTATGTTCTTATCAGCTATCCTCATATTGTCTTTGGTGAAGTACCTGTTTGAGTTCTTTGCCCATTTTTTAAATTTGAATTTTGTTTTTCTTACTGTTAATTTTTGGGAATTCTTTATATATCCTGGATTTAAGTTCTTTGTAGATATGTGATTTGCAAATACGTTCAGTCTGTAGCTTATCCTTTCATTCTCTTGACAGTACCTTTCACAGAGCAAAAGGTTTTGATTTTTAAATATATCTTTTTTTTTATTGATTTCAGAGAGAGGAAAGGAGAGGGAGAGAGAGACAGAAACATCAATGATGAGAGAGTCATTGATTGAGCCCGCAACCCGGGCATGTGCCCTGACCGGGAATCGAACCCCGATCGCCTGGATCCTAGGTCGATGCTCAACCTCTGAGCCACGCCCGGCCGGGCAGGTTTTGATTTTTATAAAGTCCAATTTATCATTTTTTCCCCCTTTTATGGATTGTGCTTTCTCTATCCTATATTGGAACTCTTCGCCTAACTCCAGGTCACAAAGATTTTCTCCCATGTTTTCTTTTACGTCTTACAGTTTTATGTTTTACATTAAGATCTACAATCCATTTTTATTTTATCTTTATATAAGGTGTGAAGCTTAGGTCAAGATTTACTTTTGCTGCATTTTCAGCACTATTTTTAAAGAAGACTATCCTCCATTGAGTTGCTTTTGCACTTTTGTCAAAGATCAAATAGCCATATTATATTTTTGTGGGCCTGTTTCTGGACTCTATTCTGTTCCATTCTGTGTCTGTCCCTTTGCCAATGTCATGTCTTAATTATTGTATCTTAATAGTAAGTCTTAAAATTGGGTAGTGTGATTTCTCCACCTTTGTTCCCTTTCAAAATTGTTTTAGCTATTCTTCCATATAATTTTTTTTTGTCTATATCCACAAAAAAATTCTCCCGAGGTTTTGATAGCTGTTGCATTGAATTCGCAGATCACTTTGCAGAGAATTATGTTGAGTTTCCGACCCATGACCACAGCATGTCTCTCCATTTATTTAGGTCTCATTTGACTTCTTTCATTAGCATGTGTAGTTTGCAGCGTACAGATCCCATACATATTTTGTCAGAATTATATCTCTTTCATTTTTGAGGCAGTATTGTATGTGATAATTGAAACTATTTTGGTTTCCAGCTGTTCATTGTTTGCATACAGAAATATAGTTGATGTTTATGTGTTCCCCTCGTACTCACTTATTAGTTCTAAGAATCTTTTATAGATTCCCTGGGATCTACTACCTTGACAACCATGTCATCTGTGAGTAGGAACAGGTGTGTTTCTTTCTTTCTGTTCCGAGTGGCTTTTATGACTTTTTCTTGCTTTTGTGCTGGCTGAGACTTCCAGTGCGGTGCTGAGTAAGAGTGGTGAGAACAGGCATTCTTGCCTTATTCAGTATTTCACCGTTAATTATTATGTGACCTGTAGGGTGCTTGTAGATGCCCTTCATTAGGTGAAGGAAGTTCCCATCGCTTCTAGTTTGCTGAGAATTTTTATCATGAGTGGATGGTGCATTTTGCAAAATGATTTTTTGTGCATGTATTGAAATAATCATGTGGTTTTTATCTTTAGTCTGTTAATATGGTGGATTACATTAACTAATGTTTAAGTATTGAACTGGCAGCTACAAACCAAAATGATCCACTCCCTGGAAGTACACTCACGTCCAGGGAGATATCAGAAAGTCTCCAGAGCATTCCTGTGGTGTTGCAATGAGAGACATGAACTCTTGGCACTGATGCTCTAAGTCTGAGTCCCCTGCTCACTCCTACTTAT